AGTCATATGACGATGTGACCAAGACAGCACACCATACACTAACAGTGTCCCTTCACAAACAACCAGAGTCCCGACTGTGAACAAGGGAAATCTGGCAAAATCTCTCTGCTTCCGACAGCTCGCTTTCTGATTGGGTATCTCTTCGTTCCACGTGACAATCTACAGAGTGTGCACACGTTTGTCCTCAGGATTTCTCATCATAAATATTCAACATGTTGGATATTTACGCTTTGAAATAAGTGCGGCCCCAACGTTCTGATTAGATAATCTGTAGAACCATCAAGATAATAGGGATTTTACCTAGGATTGTTGGAATGGGAGACTTGGGCACGAAATCGGCCCGATTATCTTGAAGTGTGTGGGTGCCTTAAAGTCCCCCTGTAGTCAATAATTGTATCCCTTAAAACTCATCTTTGATCACCAAAATATTACATTTTTTCCCCCTTGAAATAAAATTATTCATGCCTTAAAATAGCTTGAATGTAACTCTACACCCGTGCCTCATTTAGTATATCCGTTTCTATGAATATGCAAATTAGCCCCGCCTCCACTCACTCACACCAGCTCAGAGATCCACTGGTTGACGATCACACGTTGATCTGATTGGTTACAAGGTAGTTTGTGACGTCAGAAACACCAGCGATTTCAAACCGCGTTTTTTGAGACTGTCTTTGGTTCACTGCAGTTTTAAGGAGAAAATAATGCATTTGCACATCATGGTTTGTCTTTAAAGCATATTAAAAACACCATAGACATATAAACACCATTACAAACTTGATTTTCACCACAGGGGGACTTTAAGATCACCAACAGAGAAGCAGAGACCACCCCCCAAAAAACAGGCTCCTTAACAAAGTGTAATAACAGTGATGCCATGATGTTTAAAAGTGTGCCCTGGTTAAGGCTGGTGAATGTGGTTGGAGATTAGCTCATCTTTCCATTGAACACAGTTCTGTCATGAAACTCTAGATGGCGCAGGCTGATAGGTCTTAATACTTAATCTGCTTGCTATCACATCGTTCTCTATATCGTTTGTACTCCAGTAGCATATTTTCTATATATTCATATTTTTTCAGAAACCCTTCACCTTCCCCAGCTCTACCTACTGTATATAGATCTGTCACAGATCTGGTAATACATTCATGTACAGCAGCAACATGTGTTACTTGCTCACAGCAGAGTGTCATGTATTTATTGGCAATAGCAAGTCCCGTACTAGATCTATTCCACAAAAACCAAATATATCAACATTGTCATACACATTACCATAACAAACAAAACTAAAACAATTGAAAAGCAATGCAATAAAACACAAAAGTGTGTTATTTTGAGCTGTGAGTGCTTGGCCAGTGCTCTCACTTGAATTAGGCAATACTTGAACACAACAATGCAAAGTGGGCATTGCATCGCTAGAAACTAATTGAATGCAATTACACGGATTGGCTAAGAACTCGCAGCTAGAATCACATAATCATGATTAAGTATTTCTGGCCTTATGCTTTGTTAACACATGGCAATTTACTGGTAATGTTATAACTCTTCATCCCTGCAAACTTCCAGAACTGTTTTACCCGTTTTTCTCAAAAGGTCTTGTTCACACAAGATCTGTAAACAGAAATTTAGCGGCAATTTTGCGGAAAGAACTACATGTGTGAAACTGAGCCTGGTTTCTCCAACGGTTTTTTTTTTCTCCATTCGGTCACCTGATAATGTTTTGGTTCCTTGCTTTTGGCTTGCTTAGTTGGGGACACTTAATATTCAACAATTATATGAGAACTGAGCTGGACGATGACATCACTGTTTTCTCCAGAGTAGCTGTATAGATGAAGTGAACTAAATGAATAACTTTTTTACAACAGAAATGAACCATCACTGAACTTACTTAAAGGAGAACTCCGGGCAATTTTTAAGTGAATCTTGATCGTTAGACCTTTGTGAGTACTGACTATAGGAAAAAAAACTAACCGGATTGGTGCTTGCTACGCGGAGCTGCGACCGCGAATGCCCAGAGCTCCCACCCAGCTAAAACGGCAGCTATGGGGGCATCGACATAAAGAGCGTTTTTAAGCCTCTTAACAGACACAAAATGCAATTAAAATGTCTGTCCAACATGAACAGGGACCCTACATGTGAACAAGATGCGTTTAGCAACTTAGCCATTGTTTCAACTCACGTAAATAGTCTTTTAGACGGCAAGCTGTAGTCTCGCGCTGCAGTCCCGTGCTGTAGCCGGAAAAGGTAAACAATGTCCAGGTGGGAGGAGCCATTTCTTCTTCACTTGTAAGCAACTCTGATCATAACTCGTCGCACATGATCAACGCTCCTCCCACCTGGACATTGTTTACCTTTTCCGGCTACAGCACGGGACTGCAGCGCGAGACTACAGCTTGCCGTCTAAAAGACTATTTAGGTGAGTTGAAACAATAAGTTGCTAAACGCATCTTGTTCACATGTAGGGTCCCTGTTCATGTTGGACAGACATTTTAATTGCATTTTGTGTCTGTTAAGAGGCTCAAAAACGCTCTTTATGTCGATGCCCCCATAGCTGCCGTTTTAGCTGGGTGGGAGCTCTGGGCATTCGCGGTCGCAGCTCCGCGTAGCAAGCACCAATCCGGTTCGTTTTTTTCCCTATAGTCAGTACTCACAAAGGTCTAACGATCAAGATTCACTTAAAAATTGCCCGGAGTTCTCCTTTAAGCTGGACTATGACGCTATTTTCTTCTAGAAATAAACTTTGTTGCATTATTTTCCTGTTATCTCTGTAAAGTTGCTTTGAAACAATCTGTATTGTAAAAAGCGCTATATAAATAAAGGTGACTTGACTTGACAGTTTATGATATTCTGGTCATTAGACATGATATGACCCGGGTCCCTCAAATATTCCTCCACAGTATTTTCCCACCAATTTATGACCTACCGAGGCTATTTGTAAAATCAATCTCTCCTTAACAAGGGGCAAATCCAAAACCTTAAACCTGAAAAATCACCCCACACTCATGGAGTGTATATATTTTTTATTGAATGAGGATGTACTAAAATATACAGAACACTGACACTTGCCAATCCAGCGGCAACGAAATCCTCAATTATTTTCTCTCAGATTTCAATGTGTATGGAACAGCTTTCATTTCATGGACGGTGAAAAGAAACTGAATAGAAACGGCTTCTTTTACCCTGATATTCGTTAATTCTTGCTAGGGTGTCTGTGTGTGTGTGTGTGTGTGTGTGTAGAGGGATGTGGGTACAATGTACTGCCTACTTTCAGAAACCCAATTAATCCAGCTTTATTTTAATGTTGTAGGTAGTATTTACAACAAAAAGTCCAAAAATATTTTTCAGATTTTCCAGTTCTGGGATTCATAGTTAGAAAGGTTCATTCTTTGGTACAGCACATACCAAAAAAAAAAAAAAAAAAAAAAGATTCGAAAAAAAGATAACACTGTTCATCTTCTTTCTCTAATAAAAGTTGTTAGCAGTTATTTTCAATACATATATATTTTTTGTATTAAAAAGAGCTTTGCTGATAGGTCATAAAGCTTTCTCACAGTAGGGGTTTGACCGACACATCTTTCTGCACTGCTCAGCTGTTATTAGACTTTAAGACTGCAGTATGAGGAATAAATAAAAAGAATGGCTCTGAGGACAACAGCTCTAAACCGATGTAAGAACAAGAGTCACGACAGACACAAATGTCTTTGGTCCGAGGAAGATAACATCTCCCATTCCATCTGACAGATTCAATCCAGACATTAATTCAGAGTTTAAACATACTGTAGCTTAAGTGGAGATCTCCTTTTATCCGCCGATCTTCTGGGTTCTTGAAGAATGGTGTGCTGTCATCTCACATAATCCATTTAATTGCACCAGCTGCAGTGGTTGTATAGTTTAGTGCAAAAAAAAAACGACCCTATTGAAATCATTCAATCTGCTGTAAAACCTATGCTGTAGAAAATAATAGACCAGGAATAAAAAAACAAAAAACAAATGCATGTTCCAGTTTGATGCATTCAAAATGAGAGGCTGTGAACGACCACATCGCTCTCTCTGTTGCATCCTTTGTATGATTGTAACGTGAGTTTCTGACATAGTGAACACACACCTCGATAAGAAACAAGCATAACAGCACCTTTTGGAAAAGAACAGTCAATAGCCGCGTTTCCACCGCAATTGCCCGGAACAATTTGTCCCAGGAACTTTTTTCCCAGGAACTTTTTTTGCCCCAGACCGGTAGCTTTCTGCGTTTACATCGCGGTCTAAAGTACCGGGTAAACTGCGCGCGACTGCTCATTGCTTGCTTGTGACGGACAGTAGACTGTAAAAGACAGTAATCAGTTTTGAGCGCCACATTTATAATAAATATGGAAGAGATTCACACTGTGCTGCAGTTGTTTGAGATGTATTGGTTTACTAACCAGGTAATTAACAAAACGGCAGAAAAGAGACGAGCACTGATACTAAAGCGTGTTCAGAAAGCTCGTAATGCTAACGTTAGATCTAAAATTAGACAGCGTATGTTATCAGCTATTGCGGACATTGACCGTGAGAAGGCTGGGACGAACGCGCAGAAAATTTCTCTTCCGCAAATACGCTTAATAAAGCCTGAATCTCGTCGTCGGTCCAGCTGCCTTTTTTATTTTTATTAAATTCCATATTTGCAGACAGACAACTCTTACTGCATGGAACTTCATTACTGCATGAAGCCACGAACTGCAATAGATTCTAAAAATTCCGGTTAAAATAAAATGCTGCGCGGAGTTATCCAATCATAATGCGGCGTGAACACAACCAATCAGCATGTTCAGCGCACAAGCCCCACCCGCGAAAGTTCCTGAACTTTGAAAAAGTACTACCTCGCGAGCAGGGACTTTCGGAGGGGGAAATATCTACCCGGAACTTCATTTAGACCCTGGTTCCTGCGGTGTAAACACACCGAGTACCAGGCCAAAGTTCCTAGTTCCTGGGTAAAGTTCCTGCGGTGGAAACGCGGCTATTCAGACTTCTGAACGCACTTCCATTGAATACTTCCACGCTCTGAAAAAGGATCCACAGTTTCCATGACTCTCGCGGACATCCCGAGAGCGCTCAACCTCACTGGCCTCGAGACAGTTTGCTCTCCTCATCGTCCGCTTCAGATTGCTGATGTGTTTCAGTCTCCGTAGCGACACACCATTAACAGGTTGCTGTCTTCAAATGACCCCGTTCTCAGTTCAGCTCCTATGGCCACTAGGGGTCCTCGTCCATATCGTCCAGGTTTGGAGCCATGATGAAGTGCTTAGGGTACATCAGACTGTGCTCGAAAGCGTACTTTTCCCAGCGTGCGTCATCACTCTCGTGAGTGATGTAGCGTTCCCCTCTGCGCGTCTCAAACTCTCGCAGATCAAGCCACGTCTGGTAGTCCTGGGACAGCGCACACATGGACAGGTTGAGGTATAAAGCTGTAATAAAACATTCAGAAGGGATTTTACAGGTCTCTAGGCTGCTTACCTGTAGCCATGGATGACTGAGAGTCTTATCCACACTGTAACGCTTCCTCATCTTCACTTGGAGAAGATTGTTGATCAGATCTGTAGCTGTGGAGTTCAAATACACGATAAGGGTGTTTTAAAATTACAGATCTGGGCCGCATTTACCAAAAGAGCAATCTGAACACATACAAAGGTTTATTCAAGCGTGCTGTTAGTATACTAAAAAAGAGAGTATACTTTCATTCTAGGTTTATTTACATATCAGAGATATACTTATAAGAAAGACATTAAATAGAAAAATAAGACAAGAATACTTGGCATATACTGACAGATATACAGAAAATATATTTGGCCTATACTTGAAATGCATAATTAACCCTAGTAAAGCCTGACATATGGAAAAATAGTCCATTGAAAAATCAATATATAAAAAAAGAGAAATGCTGAAATGCTATTATAGCAGTATAATAGACTACTTACATAAAATGCATAGAAATATCAGTTGCCATTCTATATCTGCTAATAATATCTATTAAGTCTTATTAAGATGATATTTAAGTGTTTAGTTTTATGATCAAAGCTCTGTAGTTTTTTATTGAGAGATGAACAACGCTGAATAAACGTTCCTCAAAAGCCTGATGGATCATATATGATTCTCACATTTGAACATGATTCTTAAAAAAAAATGAAATAATGCATATTTATTTTGAAACATTACTAATATAAAGGTTAAACTTACGTTTACTTTATAAAAATGAGTAAAGATTTCACAGCAAAAAAGACATGTGAACCATGAGCTGAAGGTGGACGTTTGTACAATTATACTAAAAGACCTTTTACTTGATAAAAAAAAGTATAAACTATCGATCAGTTGACAGAGAGCATGTGAAATATTGTGGAATACTGTAAAATTTAAAATACAAAATGCAATTTACTTTACATTTATTATTATATCAATGTTGAAAACAGTTGTGCTGCTTAATATTTTTGTGGTTATATTTTTTAAGATTCTTTGATGAATAGAAAATTCTGAATTAAATTCAATTACTGACCCCCAGAATCTGGAACGGAACGGCAGTAATATAAATGTAAAACAGATATAGAGCTGTACAGAGGGTTCCTTCACAAACAGTTCAACAATAAATTAAACTAATGTAATGATGAATTTAAGTATAATTGCTCCCACAAAAATAAACCAAGCTATAAAACTAAATCATAATGATGTGAAATGTAGAGACAGAGAAATGACATTTATAGAGTTGTAGAGGAGTAGGACAGACTGAAACTGGGAGAGGCTGGTATAATCTCTCAGGTCTCGGGCGGAAAGAACTATTCTAAACACACATGGGGGTGGACAGTCTGCCTGCTGTCTGACACACATCTAGACATCTCCCTCTTTCTTCTGCCGCAAAAGATAGAAACCACGCAGTATAGCACACACATATTCAAATGAAAAACACCTCAGTCGTTTGTAGAACGGTCATACATTATTGCCTTTAAGACCAGTTTATATTTGGTTGCAACTGCAACTATTTTATCCCATGGTTTTTGTAACAAAAACACTTCCAAATTTTTTAGGAAGTAGTTATGTATGAGTTCAGGTGTAAACCAGTAAAGCAGGGGACTTACCGTCTGCAGAGATCTCTTTCCAGGGTGTTGAAGGGTACATGAACGCTGCATTCTGGATTTGGTCATTAATATCCTCGTCCTCATTAAAGGGGAAGGTGCCACTCAAACTGACGTAGATAATGACTCCCACTGACCACATATCTAGGGAACGGTTGTAGCCTTTGCTGCGCAGCACCTCCGGGGCCAAGTACGCTGGTGTTCCCACCACTGAGCGCCGGAAAGACTTCTCCCCGATGATCCGAGCAAACCCAAAGTCGCACAGTTTTACCTGGAACATGAGAGCAAGCGGTCGAGTTCAGTCATGTGTTGTTACAGGGGATTTCAAATGTGGATTTACAGATGTGACCCAAAGCATTTACTCCAATGAGAAGTTAATACTTCAATATAAATATTATATTTAGCAAATAAAGTGGTAAAGTATGTTTTGCAATCACGTCGCCTCATTAAATTGAGGTTAAACCACTGGAGTCACATGGATTACTTTAATGATGCCTTTACTACCTTTCTGGGGGTTTGAAAAATGGTAGTTGCATAGACTGTCAATGGAGGGACATAACAAATATGTGTTCAGAATATGAATGAAAATCTTATGGGTTTGAAATGAAATGAGGGTGAGTAATTAATGACAGAATTTTCATATTTGGGTGAACCATCCCTTTTAAAAACACAATTGCATGTATACGGTTTTCTGATGTTGTTTAACGGTCACAAGACATGCAGGTAAACAAATTAAAGATGTAATAGTTTCCTGTTAAGTGTTTCATTTTGATTGTTTTCATAGTAAATGATTTATTTGTTTTAATTGTAAATTTTTTATTTAAAAAAAAATGTTCCAGGTACAATACAGTTTTATTACACGGCTCTGTGGAATACTTGATTCTGACTGATCAATCGCAGCTTCCAGCGGTGTGTTATTTCCCGATAACAGCCGGTAAAAACAGATAACGCAGGCTCATCCGGGTAACTGAAGTCAGCGCTTACGCTGGCTAGGAACGTTTTTTCCTTATTGAAGTTTTGCGTTTGGTGAGCTAATAAAATATTAAACTCAAATCAATATTTTGTGTACAGTTGTTTAATTATGTCTGGTATCGTGGACTCGCTCTCTCTCGTTTCATACAAATGCAGCTGCTGCCATTTTGAGACGATAGTTTTGTACACTTTAATTTATAAGACAACAAACATTTAAAAACAGTTAAATCTCAAATCAATATCTCTTATCAGCATAATTATTTATGTGGCGAAATACTGTGTAATAATAAGTGGTAAGACTCTACCGTATCCCTTAAATGTCCGTCTAGTTTGAACTTGCCGCTTGCTAGCAACTGTTCTCTCAGCGGAAGCTTTGCATTTAAAGAGCTAATAAAATATTTAGACTCATATCATTATGTCAACATATCAATATAATGCGTCAAATTATTTACTTATGTGGTAAGTAGCCGTGTAATAAGTGGGATAATGTACATCCAGTCGGTTGTTATCTCAGAACAAACCCACATCAGAGTGATGCAAGAGCGTCCTGATCGCCCTGTCAGGGTTTATTCTGAGATAACAACCGGCTGGATGTACATTATCCCATACTTATCCTCATACATACATTTACATTCATGTAAATTAATATACTATATAGCAAATTTATTTGATTATTTATATTGCTGCAAAACGTAACTATATTATCACCCAGGTCTTTATATAAAGATATAAGTATGTTCAGAACTTTATCTGCATTCGTACAGTATACTCACTTAAAGCAATATATACTATAGCAAATCTCAACAGCTTGATTGTTTGTGTAGTCCCAAAATGAAACTATATTATCGTCTAGCTCTAATCTGCTAAATGTGACTATAAGGCATGAAGATAATTATAAACATTAACATCATGATTTTCTGTAAAGCAGCTTTGAAACAATGTGTATTGTGAAAAGTGCTTTAGAAATAATTTTGACTTCACTTTTTAAACCCCTGAGGTTCACCAACTCCACTTAGGTGTTATTATATAGTAATTCATCAAGGATAGCATGGTTTATTCACTGTTGTTTACCTGAGGAAACGGCTCCGCAGACGCCAACAGCACATTTTCTGGCTTCAGGTCACAGTGAACAATGTTCTTGAAATGGAGATGTCGCAAAGCCACAAGGATCTATAACAGTAAAGCAGACACTTAATTTCATGCATTTATCAACTGGATGGTGTTTCTGAAGCTTTAACTGGCCATCAATGTAATAATATCCACTTTAGATGTAAAGAAAAACCCTTGATTTGTTTCTGATTATCATCAACAGAAACTTTGAAACACTGTCATGTTGCTCTGTCTGATTGAATAAATCGGAGAATTTCTCCAAAATATGAAATCTTTCTAGATGAGCAGCTAAAAGTTTCATATGACAGTATGACATATGACAAGTTTTCTAGCTTTCTGGACTGACATTGTAGGGTAATGCCAGTAACACACAGTAACAATTCATAACATCACATCCCATGGATATTACACTTAATCATAGTACTGTTCCAGATGTAAAGATTAGATTTTTTTCAACACAATAGAAGCAGAGAAACAGTGACAACATGGTAAATTCTTATTTAGGATTCATGCTGTGCTAGAAAAAGGTTAGTTCAACACAGTAAAAGGTAAAACAGGCAAGAGGAAATATAAACATGTTTGCTCAAGATTAAGTACCTAAAACAAAACTCATGTCCATTATCCATTATTGACCTTATCCCATCTCATTTTACATTACATTTAAAAGTTTGGGGTCAATTGCATTTTTTAAATTTAAATAAACGAATACCTTTATTCAGCAAGTGGCTACAAGTTGATCGAAAGTGACAGTTGCATTTTTACGAATAAAAATAATACTATTTTTTTCTATTCTTAAAAAATAATCCTGAAAAAATGTTTCCCTGTTTCCCAAAAATATGAAACTGTTTTCAGTAATAATAAGAAATGTTTCTTGAGCAGCAAATCAGAATATTAGAATGATTTCTGAAGGATCATGTGACACTGAAGACTGGAGTCATGATGCTGAAAATTCAGCTTTGATCACAGGAATACATTCTATTTCAAAATATGAAAACAGTTATTTTAAATTGTTATAATATTTGACAATATTCTAGTTTTTACTGTATTCTTAAGCAAGTAAATGCAGCCTAGATGAGCAAGAAGAAGCATTTTTTTCAAAAACATTAACAGATCTTACTGACCCCAAACTTTGAAAGTAGTGTATGAATGCTTTACTTGATAGGATGACAGTTGGGTTGTACAGGGTATAAAATGGACAACAAAAGCAACAACAATGTTCATTCCTAAACCAAAGCAAAGTCACTGACTATCAGGGTGAAATCACAATCATTCAATGTTTCCATTTACTTTCATAGAAGCACTGGCTCCTGACACCGCAGACAGAAGCATCTTAACCACATGGCAGCAGCTCTGGGGCTTTAGATCCATGGCTAATGGATGAGCTCCCGCGGCCCCCAGGGGCCCAACTGCTCTAATCAACCCACAGACTCGCCGCTCTAATTTAGCTCTAGATGACATCCAGATTACTGCCTCATCTAAACAAAATGCACTTCAGAATAGAAAAACGGAGAAATTTGATTTGAGGGGATAGGAGGAGAAGGAAAGTCTTTGCAAACCTGTGTGACCAGAAACTTGGTGTTGCGCTCTGGAAGTTTGCTCTTCTCACTGGACAGGATCATCTCCAGCATGTCACCATGGAGTTTCTCCATGACAACAAACACTCGTTCTGGAGTCTCAAACATCCGCTCTAGGTTTACAATGCCAGGATGGTGCAAATTCTACAAGAAAAAGAACAACCACGTCAAATATATTAAAAAGAACAGCTCTCTCTACCATAATGCATTAAGGAAGACATTAACATTTTTGCGGTGGTGTCCACATCCACAACTCTTATCTTGCCATAATCACGTTAAAAAGACTGATTACCTGTAAGATGGCAACCTCGTTCCTCAGCTGGCTCTCCTGTTTGGTGGGAAATCTCATTTTGTCTATTACTTTGATGGCCACATCTCTGCCTGTTTTTCTATGTTTCCCTTGAAACAGAATAGAAAATCATTTGAAACGCAGCACAAACACATTTTAAGGAAAAGATTTAACAAAAAAGGCTTTTAGGTTTCAAGTTATAAAACAACAGATCATTTGAAATTGAGATGAAAAGTATTTGGTGTGTAAAGAGTGTATATTATAAATAGTACATGTAAGGGGACACTGTATATAAACCCTACAAAAGAAACCCAGATAGAGCAAACTTGTAAGATCTTGAAAGGAGACCGGATAATAATCCAGCTACTTCTAAAATAATTTCATGCTAATCTATTTATATTTGATAAGAGTTTATATTGTAAGATTTATATAATGAGAGAAATGATTTTAGAATGTCAGAAGAATAATATGCTGTAAGATATGGGAAATTAGCAGATATATGGTCAGTAAAATAGTTTAACTTAAATATTTGAAAACTGACCTATCAGAATCAAGTAATCTATTGTGCGGTGCAGTGTTATTTTAGTATCATTCAGATACTATTATAGTTTTTATTCATATTTTCAAATAGTTTTTATTTTTCTATTTCAGTTTTCCTTTTAATTTTAGTTTTTGTCACAATAAAATGTAGTTGTTTTTTTAAATGTCTATATACTTTTTATTATTTTTTATTTCAGTTTTAGTTATTTTAGTACATCAAGTTAAATTAATCGTAAAGGAGAAATGTTAAATACTGTAATAACCCTAGTGTTGTGTATTATATATAAATATATATATATAATACTTAATATTTCCTCTGTACCTCCATAAACGATGCCAAACTGTCCAGAGCCCAACACATCATCAGCAAATATTTGATAGATTGAGCTGATGTCCTAAAGACAAAGCAAACAAAGTTGAAGACAAATATTAAAATCAACTATAATTTATGAACAATTATAATACCAGTACATTCAACCCAATAACAATTTCTCAATCTAGAGATTGATAACCCTAAATTTCCTCTCTCAACTTTTCATAATTTTCTTGCGGTGTGACTTGACCGTGGCCATGACCGAACAAGCAGAAGTGTGTATAATAAGGGTTGTAATTGTGAAATATTGTCAGTAAACACAGTCAAAACTCACCACATTTTCCTGGATTTGACTGTTAGATACAGAAATGCTGATGGACAGTTCCTCTGCAATACACATGCACGCACACACACACAAAACAAAATACAGACATTTGGATTAGCCTTGGCATTTCATAATATGTGAGGCAGAAAAATATATCATTTTAATTAGAATCACATCCAACACATGCAACAAATTGTGATGTGACATTTATCAATTTGATTGCCGTAGACATATTATCCTAGCCTACAAATCTAGACGCACCCTAGCGGCAGCAAATTTGATTTTGCAGCCAGGGTGGTCAAGCAACTCTCCGTTGGCTTTCGAGCTGGAAAAACCAAACTCTAGTCAGGCCAATCACATCGTGTATGGAGTCGGCGGGCTTAACAGAGTTGCGACGGTTCCCTGCTACTTGAAAACAAAGATTGGCTGCTGCTGCTGGCGAATAGCGGTCTTTCGAATCTTTCGAAAACGCTCTGGAGTGCGTTTCCCGAAAGCATCGTTATCCAACTATGATCATATTTCCATTGAACTCTATTGGTAACGATGGAACTTGCGACCATAGTTGGCTAACGATACTTTATCCCGATACTTTTTACCGTTTATCCCGCCCCTCGGATTGAGCTCTGCCAATGGTGAGTTCCCAGACCCAACATCTTGATGTGGGTCTGGCTTGCCAGGCTAATATTTTCCACCATCCTTTTGCCTGTGCAACATGTGAAAATAATTTAAGCAAATCCGAACTGAAATATATAATAAATTGCACATTACTAGAATGACAAGAAGGGTGAGCTAGACATAGTAATTGTAAAGGTGTTTTTTTTTCTGATTATTTTTTCTGATTATCTGATTCGTTTGTCTTCAGACAAGCTCTTAATTAAGAATGCCATTCATCTCTGGGATGAAATCTCCTCTGAATACTGAATTAAAAGTGTGTTTGTTTCATAACTAAACAGCTTTCATTAATCCAGACCTGTCAAACCTCTTTAATCTTCTGTCTCTCAACACAATTAAATGGAGGTGCATCAGGATATTAAAGAGTAAAGCTCAGCCGTTCACTCTCCAGAATAGAGCTGCAAATCTGCCCGAGAGTCACAATTCAACCATCAGATTAAAGGCACACTCAGTACATTTCTGTTTTTGTTCTTCTTCTTTTCTGTTCTCTTGGGCTTTATACTGAGACCTATCAATGTAGATGCACGTGTTCATTAACTGCTGCCACATAAAAAAAAAAAAATCCATTTCATACAAAACAAAATAAAAATTGCATTCTTGAATCTTCTTGAATCATAATCTGTGGTGTGGAAGCCACACTTGTCTCAGTTTGTACCATTGCTTCATCAATGACTGCTTGTTTGAACATTTAAGATTTCCAAACGTATGAATGAATGCATTTATATAGCGCTTTCATATGTACTCCTGTACTGTACACCCAAAGCACTTTACATAGGCCTTCATCACATGTGAGTGTACAGCATTTTAATCATCAATATGTAGCAATTAAGGTAACACTATTACACTACCGTTCAAAGGTTTGGGGTTGGTAAGATTTGTTAATGTTTTTGAAAGTCTCTTATGCTCAGCAAGGCTGCCATTATTTGATCAAAAATACAGTAAATGTAGTGAAATATACTTAAAATTTAAAAGAACTGTTTTCTATTTTAAAATATTTAGAAATGTAATGTATTCCTGTGCCACATGATCCTTCAGAAATCATTCTAATATGCTGATTTAGTGCTCTAGAAACATTTCTCATTAATATTAATGTAATATCAAACCTGCTTTTTTCAGGATTTTTTGACGAATAGAACATTTAAAAGAACAGACTTAATTTAAAATAGTCACTTTACTGTCACTTTTGATCAGTTTAATGCATCTTTGCTGAACAAAAGTATGAATGTCTTTCAAAAACAAAACACCTTGAACTGTAGATTAAATAATACATTAATGGACACAAGAGATATCTACTGATTTTTGATTTGCCATTTTTTATTTTGTTGGTGTGTAATAGTGCTTTGACAAACAACTGAGAATAATGTCTGTACCAAAATGTTAAACCGAACCTTTTTTATTAAAGGAATAGTTCACCCAAAAAATTGATAAATTAAGACTTCTTTCTTTCAGGCGAACACAATCGTTATATCAAAACATATCCTGGGTCTTCCCAGCTTTGTGATGACATTTTCTAATATTTTTGTAAGAAAACTATCCCCATTTAAAACTTTGAAAACTATAATCACTGGCTTCCAGCAACGGCTGTACACGTGTTCACGAGAGAGTCGAGTTCTGGTGGAAGGGCGACCTCTGACCCGACATATGCGTAATGTAGGCGTAAGAAGTAGGCGTTAGCGTAAGCTTAGGTGAGAATTGAAGAACGCAGAAGTGCAGAGGATAGAGTAAAACAAAACGCCAGTCACGAATTAGAAGTCTAAAACGAGAAGAAAGAAAAATGAATACATTTCAAAAAAAAATGAGGGATTCAATATAAGAGAAGAGGAGCTGCATCCTACATCATACGTTGGGTCAGAGGTCACCCTTCTGCCGGAACTCCACTCTCTCATGAACAGCAGTTGCTGGAAGCCAGTGATTATAGTTTACAAAGTTTTAAATATTAATATTTTTTTTATAAAAACCAATCACTTCTCTTCAGAAGGCCTTTATTAACTCCCTGGAGCCACGTGGAACACTTTTATGATGGATGGATGGACTTTTTGGAGCTTCAAAACTCGGGCACTATTCAATGCCATTACAAAGCTGGGAATATTATTTAATATAACTCTGATTGTGTTCGGCTGAAACAAGAAAGTCATATACACCTAGGATAGCTTGAGGGGGAGTAAATTATGGGATAATTTTCATTTTTGTGTGAACTAACCCTTTAACATATTTGTATAACCGCCTAATCTATAAAAAGAAAAAAGTTACCGTTTTTCTAAAAAAGAATAAAGTGTCATAAAGTGCCAGATGCACAAAATATACAATGACAACTTACATTTTGGTCTCTTCCTCACAGAAAGCTATCGTACGACTGGGAACATACACTTAAAAAAATATATTTTTTTAAAGTTATAAAGAAAAACTAAGATCATTGGAGTACGTTTTATAAGAAAACACTATTTCAGCCTTTTTTTACTCCGAAATTTCACGTTTAATCCATTGTGTTACTTGCCGTATCTTTGCAATAACTTGTGAAATTTACTAGCAATTTCTGAGTGAAAATCGTTTCAAAGTAAATCCTGCACCAAATTTTTTCAAAAAAAATTGTCAACCACTTTAACTTATGGAAAAGAACAGTGTGAACACTTCACATGTTTTTAAAGACTTTTGAAGACTTTACTACTCACTGTGATCTTTATTCTGTCCCGCAGCGGCGCCCACGCTGGGCTGTGGTGTTACTGGAACGGGCATCAGGGCCTGGCGGATGGCCCTCTCCCAGCCCTGGGCCACCTCCAGCCCCACGCCTCCGGCCGCCAGCGCAGGGTTGTGTATGTGGAGGTGGGGGCCGCCGGTGTTCTCCCCAACGTAGTACACCATGGTGGCCGTGATGACCTCAAAGCAGTGTGGATTGCCTCCCAGGGCTAAACTACTGAAGTCACGCGCAACCTCCACCTGCAAGATCTCTGACAGGGGAATCTCCTGCGGGTCAGACAATGAGTCAGAAATTCAGACACTGACTCACTGACAGTTAGATAAGACCGTTTAAACACTTAAACAACCTTTGCTCTTTGAGTCTGCAGATGAGTCATTAAATGAATCCATGTGATGCTGAATAAAAAATCTCCAGCCTAGTTTGAAGTTTGGCTTAAAAAAGTCATCGATTCTATGGTGTCTGGCTGATGAAATGAGCCATGTAGTTCCTCCAAGTTCAAACAGATCTTCCTTATCACATGTCAAAAAAAGCACCATCTACAAACGCAGATAAAGGTTGCCATCCAGAGTTAAGCGTCAGTCTTCTTTGACGATGCAAAGCCTAATGTGCCAAGTCCGATAAAGGCAGTCTCTTAAGAGTCCACCTTCTGCTCAGCCCCCAAACTTGCGCTCAGGAAAACAGTAGCTGTGGCCAATCAGAGTGAATGCTGCGCCTGCGGTCTTCTCTGAATATGAGATGAAGTGCTTGTGGTTTGGTGGGTGAATCATGTGACCCAACCCTATGAAGAGCCCCATGATTACAGGGCAGAGCAGCAGAAGCGCGTGTGTATACGTGTATGAGTGTGTAGGCAGGTCTCACTCTAGCCACTGATACATTATGAAGGAGATGGTCACACTTACGGGGGTGGGCTGTGGTTATCCTGAGAAAGGCCTGAAACCCCCTTACCCAAAAACCAAAAGTAGAGGGCTTCAATCTTCAAAAGAGAACAGTATGATTTCCAAATGTGCAAATCTGACTGGTTCTGTTAAGTTATAGATGGAAATCAAATGCATGATCATGTCTCACGCTGTACTTTAAGTTATAAGGTTTAAAGGTTGTTTTTTGGGATCATATTCCTTACTCATTTTGCTGAGAAGTGTGTGCTTCTTTGGCTCACAATCAATTTAGCTAAGAAAAACGTTACAATAAAGCCAAATGAGACGCTATTTGTTACCAAATTGATCGGAGTTTCTCTTTAGGATAATGTAGTGCTTCAATAATGGTGAATCTCTCTTATTTTGCCAAGAGTATGGGTTCATGTCTTTTAGGATTTAAGACCCGAGCAGAGCGCCAAGATGATAATAAAGTGGTGTGTAAAACAGTCTTAAACACACCCTGAAGTCTCACCCAGGGCGGTGAGGTTTCCTGACTTTAGTTTTGCAGCTGGGAATACAGGAACATTCACAGAAACACATAAGTTCTTAAAAAACCTTTCTTCTTTTTTTTTTTTTTTTTTTTCAATCTATGGCAATATGACCTTCACATCCACAGATGTGTGCACATTAAAGAAGACGTAACCAAAGCACAATTCCCAGAGTTAGTCCAAAAGGAGGTAGTCATTACACCGCCGTTCTGAAGTTTGAGGTTGGTCCGATTTTTTCCGTTTTTGAAAGAAATCTGCATTTTTTTTTATCAAAGGGAAAGCTGAATTTAAAGTTTCAATACTCCTGTCTTTAGTGTCACCTGCATTAGTAGTCATTTTAATATGATGGTTTGCAGTTGTGCAGCATTATAAATTATAGATTTATTTTTCAGCATTCTTTGATTACCGGTAATAGAAAGTTTGGATCCACTTTAAATTAAGTGTGTTTAACTATACAGTATGTACTAACATTTAAAAATGTATCATTTGATACAAGGCACTTATTGTGTACATACATGTGTTTTTTTTTTATTGTACTTGTATTTAAAGGGGTCATATAATGATACATGCACTTTTACAAGTTGATTGTACTGAAATGTGTGTTGGCAGTGGCTGTACACAACCATCATATAATGATAAAAATCCATCCAGTGTTTTTGTTTTAATCTCCTTATATGTTTTCCCCTGTCTCAAATTGAGCCGTTCGAGCGTGTGACGTCACACGCTCGGACGCCCCTCCCACGATTGTTGATTGACAGCAGCGTTTCAACACAAACCCTCCCTCGCTCGTGAGCGAGCTGTCAATCATAGTCTGCACGGACCAGCGCGGTCATTGTTGATATGCTGGAGCACTGTCTATGAGCAGAATGGCGTCTAAGCGATTGTGGTGTTCTGTTCTTGGGTGCAATAAGGAACACAGCAGTCATTTTAATGTTCCTAAATCCGAACCGCTGAAGACGCAGTGGCTGAGTTTGTTTTCGAAGGGAATATTCCCCACGAGCAACGTCAATGCTTTCATGTTTGCGCAAATCATTTCACACACCAGACTGCTTTATAAACGAGGATCAGTATAAAGCTGGTTTTGCTAAGAAGCTGCACCTGAATAAAGGATCGGTACCATCTATTCGTGTTCCTGCTGAACCTCCAGAAGAACTGAAGTGAGTGTAACGTTTTATTAATCTTTATATTAATCTTTATATTAATCTTTGCAAATCGCTTGCACGCTTCACAATGAATGCGTCCAAGGTTTACACTTAGGGTACATTACGGCATGTTTTCTATGTACGACGTTCTCAATATAATTCATAATCCCATGTTTATAATGAACAACGCGTTATGGTTAGTGTGTTATTGTGTTACAAACGGTGTATGCACAGAACAGAGAGGCGGGGTGAGCAAAGCTCATTATCATGTAAAGTCATATGCACTGAAACGGCGTGCTGAAAACAGAGCTGTTTTTGACCAGGTAAAATAAGTGTTTTCTTACAATACTAATGAGAATTTTTAATTAAAGTATATTACAAACTTTTAATTTAGACCCTAAAGAATCATATTAGCTTGTACAAAAATGGCATTATATGACCCCTTTAAAAATACCTGCTTGTAAGTATATCAGTAATTCATTTCTGTTATTACTGTTGACCCTTCCCTTGAACCTCAACCCAACCATCCCACCTCAATAGCAGCAAGGGTTTTGCAATACAACACGAATACAACATATACATTGTACCAAAATGTTTTTCAACTTCCAAACAAAGTAGATAGTAGCTAAAGAATATAAAGTTGGACTGAACATTTAAAATAACAGCATCTGTACTGTCACTTTTTATCAATTGAATGGATCCTTACTGAATAAAAGTATTATTTAAAATATTCTCACCAGTAGTCACCATTTAAAATATTTTAAGTTCTCCACTTATATTAAAATGCATCTGAAACACACATTCTGACCATATGCAACCTATACTCACTATACTCATATCTAGCCACACAACTAACTACACATTTATTAATGCACATTTAACATCTTATATTATCATACTCAGTATGTGGAGTTCTTTTTTGTTCACTTTTGTGAAGTTAACTTTTCACTGTTAAATTCATTGGAATCCAGACTATATAGTAAAACATTTTTCCAAAGTTGTAAAAAAAAAAAAAAAGAGTATTGGAGTATTTTCAACAAGAAAATATTATATTAGTCTTAAAAATGTACTGTAATGTTTAATTAAAACAGTTACTTGCTGTTTCTTTGTCATTTTTGTAAAATGTACCAGCAATTACGAGTGAAAATTGTACAGCAAGTAAAGAAATAAGAAAATCCTAATTAAATTGCAGACTTATGAGGTTTAATAATAACATTTGGTCAACTCAGCATTCCAATTTACTTAAAAGTGAACATACATCCTTTAAAATGCGAAGGAGCAGTAAATGATCTACCATCATACTTGCTGTACAACTAGAATGTACAAACACAAACTGTATAATGCAATACATAAATGCAGTGATGCCATTCACGTCTCAGAATAAAAGTTATTATATTGGTTTGTTCAATACAGCAGTAAAATATAGCAATAACCATATCACTACACAGTGCATTTGATGCACGTCCTGTCTCTTTCTAAATGGCTTTTGGCTGCGCTGAAGCAGAGGAGGAGGAGGAGGGGGTATTCTGTGGTACTTACCAGAGACCTCAGTGGTATTTATGAGAGGGGAAAATACTACTGCCTTTAGCTGTCTGCAATGCTCTAGATGAGCAATTAATTATAATGTTTTGACATGACAAAGATCAAAGATGAACTGCAGCATAATCAGTTTCGTTATAAGTATATGAGCAATATTATAATTTCCAGTGTCATTCTAAAGGTTGTTCTCAATCACATTAAAATATTCACGTGAATGTCACATTTTTCAACCAATAGAGAATATAATTTATACATGAACCCTGACAATTATAACACAACATTTTTTTGTAATCAAAGTATTTTAGTTAAATATGAGTAAAACTCTTACTTTGTAAAATTTGGCTCCCGAGTCATTCTGAAACAGAGTCAGACTCTTGCTGTCCAGTCTCCAGTAGTGTCTCTTTCTCTGAGGACAAAACAGATTTAACTGACTTCAAAACTCCAGAAAGCCAACAATACAGTAAACAATGAGCAAACAATTCAGTATATTTACTCTAATGCAAAATAATTTGACGTACAAGACGATGGTATAAGGTTTATGCTACTTATAATGTGTAACTGTTGAAAGGACATTAATAATTGATTGTGAAAACCATAGGCGTAATCTGCGGGTGGAACAGGTGGGACATGTTCCCACCACTTTTTGCCAGGGTCGATATTGTCCATACCACCTTTTGAAAACTATGCTAGGGTGGATTAGAACCCAGAACCTCTGACACGCTTAACAAAAATTCTACCACCACTCCATTTGAGCACACTAATATTCATTGCGAATCTATGTATTTATTCACTGACATGAAGAACCTCGGAACTACCAATATATTTGATTATAGTAGATGTAAGAATGAAACTTGTTAAACATGTCTTATATGTTGATAAAGTCAACTCAATGTACTATTGAAATAGGTTTTGGGCATGGAATTTTTTTTTTTTTTTTTTTTTTTTACACATATCTGATGAAGCATTGTATGAGCAACCCCCCACACACACACACACTCCTGTCCCACCCACTTTTCAAAGGTTTAACAAAGTTACGCCACTGGTGAAACCAGCTGAGCTACTGAAAAATGGCTAACACCGTGTCCTAACCAGACGCGACAAATAATTTGTCGGTCCACACTAGATGCGACTGCGAGACGCGTCAAAATCAATCAAAACCCACGGCCAATCAGAACAGCGTGTGGGCGGAGTCTAGCGGCAAGTGCACAGCACCAGAGAGTCATTTTGGCGGCACTCGCAAGAAAATGGATAAGTAGGCTACATAATCAAATTCACAAATAGTACACCATTTAAACATTATTAAAAATACATAGGCTACTGAGTTACTAAAACAATTTTTGTCAAAGAATACACTTTTTTGTTAACAGTTTGAATGTTCTTGTTTCCATTTGTTTAATTTCAAGATCTGAGGTGAATTATCTATTGTTGCTTTTACAGCTACAAAGCTGGGAGCACTAAATGATATTCAAAGTCACATTGCATGCTTTTAACATTAAATAAAGCACATAAACAGTACCTGAGATTATCATTGCCACACTTTGTGTTTGTTGTTCCAGCGCGGCGTCGCAGAAAAATATAAACGGTTTCTAAAATAGAATAGTTGCGTATCGCCGTCGCGGCTGGTTAGTACAGAAACTCTGATTAACATGGAAAAGATCACTTTTATCGTGCGTAGTGGCGTCGATTCGCGTGTAGTTAGGATACGGTGTAACACTAACTAGCAGTTTCAGTTAGTTATTCATCCACATTGTATTACAGTTATGCCCATAGATGCTTTCTTCTTAAAGTGCATTCATCACATAAATAAACAAAACAGCAGCTTTACATGTAAATATGGAATCAAATCTTACAAGATTGTCTCGGCTGGTGTAGTGCACCATCCATCCTTCTTTGACCATAGTGGAGCTCCTCCGTTTGGTGTGTTTGATGGACTGAACTACACGCATCAGTGGGATATTGGTGCTGGTCGAGGGGCTTCAAAGAGACACGAAAAAACATCAGATCTATTGCGTGAATGTGGATCAGTAATCAAGAAAAACTCAGAACTTTGGTAAATTTGCATATTTTCACTTTAATTTGTTTAGGAAGAAGGACTTTGATATGGAAATCTTGTAAAACATTTTAGGATTATGTATGTAATCCTGGTTCCCTGACAAGGTAATGAGACGCGGCATCAGATGCTGATGCCATGGGTATGTGTACCACTGAACCCGGTATCTGAGGCATGTGTAAAATGACGTCAATCTTAAAATCCCGCCTCAGCTAAGTCCACAATACTACGTCCAGCAGCCGAAGCAGGTGACAGATGAAGTGTGAAGTCACTCTTAGCAACTCTAATATCATCATACCGGCCACTAACACCCCAGCTTAAGGGAAGAGCGTACCGAAGGGAGCGTGCAGGGCATATTCATCAGTTCTCTATCTGTCCAGACTAAATGAACTGGAGAGGGCGACATAGAATAGATTGCTAACCACGATAAAGTCCATCCAGCTCTGCTAAAGGCCCTGCTCTGACTTTCACTTAGCCAGTAATGGGTATCAACCCATCTTCTTTGCAAGTTTCTCCTCCCTTTTTTAACAAAAAAATATATACCCCACAAACGACCATTAGTAGAGGTTGAGAACCTGAGCAGGAGGAGCCAGATCAGGTGAGGAATGAACAATTAACTTCACCACCGTCTCAATGGGAGTGCCGAAAAGTCCAGAGGTTGTCAAGGAGGACGGTCTAATCACACCCCTAAATGCTTGACACGTGCACAGTTCCTTGACTGCCTCAGGGGACAACCCCTTGCCCTGGTCCAGGTCTTCAAGAAGGCCTTCAAGGCATGCCTTGCCCACCAGCCGCAATGTTGTCTGACGTGGCTTAGAGAGCAAGACGGGACGAGGGCTAGCAAGGTTCTCTTCAACCTGGGGCATCCTCACATATCCCTGCTTGCATAGTCCCTACGCATTCGAATAATTCAACTGTGCAGAGGTAACTACACAAGCTGAATAAGGATTCTTCCATGAACCAGTGTACCTCAGTGTGCAGGTCCAGGAGAAATGTAAGGCTCACTGGAGAGGACTAACCGGCCACAAGCGATTCAGTTTAAACTTAATCTGGCCATATCATGGGTCATAAACTCCACCAATTCGTAATATCCATCTCTACTTACTCAACATGTAGTTCCCTGGAACTAGATGTGAGTAACATGCTCTCAGTCAATGATAAGGCATGAGTGCCTTGGAGCTAGCAGAGGACCCAGAGAAAGGCCTTTTTGATTATAGAATTTTCATTTTTGGGTGAACTATTCCTTTATGCTTTAACTCCAACCTTCACAAGATATGTATTGTCCAAAGCATATACCTGATGGTCTTCACAGGTTCTTCATCTTTCTCACGGTCCATGAAGGGGGAGTCCATAAAGAACATCTTGTCTTCTGGAGTGGTAGGTTCCTCTGAATCATCCAGACCCCGACTGCTATCGCTGTTCACATCACTGCTGTCTACTTCCATCGTGGTATCAGAGTCAGGACCAGGGCTGGCCGGCTCTGAAAGAACATACAGTAGACTTATGTGATGATTTTTAATGTTAGCACATTTTTTCTCATTTTAATTGGATGTGGCTGAAATGACCATACCTCCATTGAAGACTCCAAGACAGTCTTTTGGTACCTTTGAAGCACACCGCTTGTGGCAATTGAATTTACAGTCTGTTGAAGAAAACACTGTGTGATCATTTTTTCCCCTACATTTGACTAGAAATATCTTCTTTATTAGAAAGAGTGAAGGAAGACAGCGATACACACCTTTACACTGCATGCCCTGGCGGAAAAGCCCCTTTAGCAGCCGTTTGCAGTACTGACAGATGGTGGGACGGGTGTAGTTGTGAATCACAAAGGTGTGAGGAACCTTCACACGTCCCAGCACCATCTTCTCCATCCAGATTGGCCGACCGCTCCACGATGGCATCCGCTTACCTGGCTCCTGATGGAGGCGCTGCTGCAGTGGAGATCAATGGAAGAAAAAATAGGCTCAGAAAAGAATACTAGCTGCAATTCACATATTGGTCACAGTACACATACACATACTGCATACCACAGAATAATATAAGTAGTACGGTATGACGAACATACACTACGGTTCAAAAGAAAAGATTTTATTATTATTATTATTAATTTATTTTTTAAAGAAATTAATACTTTTATTCAGCAAGGATGCATTAAATTGACCAAAAGGCATAGTAAAGTCTTTCACATGGTTGCATTTTCTTCCAAATAAATGCTTTTTTTTTTTTTTTTACTTTCTATTCATCAAAGGATGCAAAAAAAAAAAAAAATCAGTTTCCACAAAAATATTAAGCAGCACAAACGTTTTTCAACAATGTAAAAAAAATATATATATATTGAGCTGCAAATCAGCATATTAGAGTGATTTCTGAAGGATCATGTGACACTGACTAACTGGAGTAATGATGCTGAAAAAATCAGCTTTGATCACAGGAATAAATTACATTGTAACAGAAAACCGTTATTTTAAACTAATATTATTTCACAATATTACTGTTTTTATTGTATTTTTGATCAAATACGAAATGTAGCCTTGGTGAGCATAAGAGATAACTTTGAAAAACATTAAAGAAACTGAAACCTTTGAAGTGGCATTTATTAGAGTGCTGCAGCAATTTGTCTAGATGCATGTGAAAGAGTGGAAATGATCTTCACTGGTTTGTTTTTCACACATTACAGTAACAGCGTTCTGGAATGGCAGCTCAGATTCATTACTGCAAATAAACAGAGAACTGAGAACTTCATTGCGGTCTTCTCAAGAATATTTCGAAACTGACCACTTAGTTAAAATAAAACCTGTTCAACCATAGACGATTTTACAAACATAGATGATTTTTGAGACTGACCAACAAAAAAGTGACCTGATTTACCTTAATTTTTTTTTATTATTGTTTTCTATGCATTCATGCAATTATGTGGAAAGAGTTTTTATTAGGTCTGAACTGCCACCAGCCTGATTTTGTTATATTTCACAATGTACCCATGCTTTAAATACAGCTGCAAGGTTTGGCGGGGACAGCAACAGTGCCAGGCCTCAAGAGGTGTTTATTTGAAATAAAATGAACATAAAATTAAAAGGGAAAATAAAGTGTCAGAGGGAGATATTGTGAGACAACTAAAAGGGACATAATGTCCTTGCCATGTTTGGGTTTAGGCTAATGCAAGGCCATCGCTTTATCACATGCATATCTTTTAACCCATTTGTCACAACACAGTGTTAAATTGAACTAGCATTATGAATTAATGACAGGTAAAAGCATAAAAAGTATTTGGATACCTATCCCACATTTAAACAGTGTGTATTCCACTTCACAAAATATCAAACCAAGTAGTACAAGAAATTATACTAGACATTTTCTAACTAACTTGATATTCGTCACTAATAATTTTTTAGTTAAAATTTGGTAAATCAATTTTAAAAAGCTTGTGTCCATGTGTCAGATCCCCTAAGGTTTACACAGGTAACATGTCATATATTAGAAATTAAATATAATAAATGTATATTTCATATTTTTATCAATAATCTATAGGGGTGTAACAATATATAATGTCACAATATATCGCAATACAAAAATGCAACAATATGTATTGTGTATAGTTCACCCAGAATAAAAATGACTGTTTTCAATTCAAGTTTACAGAGTTTTAGTGTCAGTACTACATTAAACTACTATATATATAATGTTGAATATAATGTATAATAATGCAATAGCGGAATATTTGTGGGTCCTGATAATGCCAAATGTCTGATGTTACCACTAAAAAGTGGCCTGCATTATTTTAAATATATATGTAGTCAGTGACGGAGTGAAAGCATATTCGTCTAAAATAATTCTGTATTTTCAGCTTCAGATTCATGAATATTTTTATTCTGGTGTCATTATTGTCCTGTGCATTGGGTTCAATGAATCAAGCCTATTTACACACACAATGTAATACCAAATTTAGCATTTTAATCAACAGTACATTTTTTGTTAACCTTTTATCATATGTCTTGAGTATCGCATATGTCATGGAGTATCGCAATAATATCGTATCGTGAGTTCAGTATCGTGATATGTATCGAATCGTGACAGGAGGGTAATTACCCCTAATAATTTATAGTAATAAATGCCCCTTGTTTTGATTCATTGTAGAGTGCTATGGAAAGATTCCTAGATGATTTTGAATTTTCTAAATAAATAAATAGTAAGTAAGTCAGATCTTTCCTCACCTCTTCCAGGCCCATGACAGCATGCTCGGCTGGTGCAGGACGGGGAACAGACAGCGAAGGTCCGGGCAGAGACTGATTGGAAAGGCGTCTTTTCCTTACACCGCTACAGTTGTTAGGGATCTTAAAGGCGCATCGCTTGTGATAGTTCAGGCCACATCCTAAAAATCCACAAGGAAAGCTTTAGTGTTCAGGATTAGAGTCAGAAGAAAGCCTGAGATTTGATTTAAAACAAGATCAGGAATAGGATTAGGGTTCAGGTATAAGGTAAAGAAGATGAGAATCGAGTATAAGGCTTAAGGACTCAATATAAGATTACACAGACACACACAAGGCTAATTTCATCAGACCTCCAGCAGGGGGCTCCGCTTCTCTTTTCAAACTTGCAGACCTGTGGCTACTTAGGCATGTTTAGTTCCTCCTGAGAAACCAAATGAATCTCCTGAGGACTGGGTGGAGATTTTAGATCTAAACTTCATGAGTCTGAAGCATAAAGTGTTTTAGCATGCCTCTACATATGAACAGCTTGTATCCATCAGTGTGGCTTCTTACAACTGGAGCCCATAATCTTCATGCAGCTTTTGAATGTCACATCCAGCGCTTGGCAGAAACACTGGGTTCCATTCAAACAGCCCCTGATTTCAGCTTCAAAGACCGATGGCAGCACTGACACATCACACAGCGTGCCTGAATACATTAGAGATCTTTAAAGCAGACTCAATAAGAACACTCTGAACCAGAAGAATCCTTTGATTCAGATCACTTGTTCTTTTGTTGCTGTCTTTTGAACCAATCAATAATTCGTTATGTAATTTTCATCAACTCAAACTGAAATTATTTTAATTGAAAAGTGCAAAATGACAAAAAAAAGTGTGTCAAACTGTAACAGGCAAAAAGCATTAATCATCCAATTGCTGCTAAAACAGCTTTCCCTCTTCTTTGGATAGTTTTCCATAAGTTGGAATATGAATGCAGGGATTCACTCCCATTCAGACACAAGAGCATCAGGGAGACCAGTCACCTAGATCACTCGGCAAACAAAGATTGGATTACATTAAATCCTTTCTAAATTTTTCTTCTTTTCATAACAATGGTAGTAATGATCTTAGCTGGTTTTTACTGAACACCTGGTTTTTATTGAGTCATTTATATTCTGATTGATTGAGTGATTATTATTAATAATATATCTGCAGTCACACAAGACTGCACTATATTGACTTCAATTCATACGAACATGGACATGGGAGACTGAAAACAAGATGTTTCACGTAAAAACCCAGATAAAATTCAAGCTAAATCAAAGAATGAACTTGTTTCGAACAAAATCAGGCCAAAACAAAGTTCATTTTGAGAATTCTAAGCAGCTTGGCAAAAAAGAGAGAAAACATAGCTTTAAAAAATATACAACCAATATGTGTTTTCCCGTGTATTATTGTAGATTTTTGAAACATTGAAAAAAGGTTTTAAAAACTCGAAGCGATTCTGACTTTGTTTTAATAAACAGCAAGATAATATAAACATAAACAAAAATATAATTTCAGTTGTTTTGTTGGCTTTTTGAAAGTGTAAAGAAAACAGTACTTGATCCGTGCATTATGTCTTAAAGTGACAGCAGCCTAATATTCCTGCTGCGGACTGTGTTTTTAATGTTAATCAAACAACAAAAGACCAAAAAAAAAAATCACTCACTGCTCTTGACTGAATAACTTTAGGATTAAGGATTAATCTATATTTAATTTATACAGTGTAGACTATGCAGTTATTTTACATCTGATTACTTTATTCAATTTCTGTACATAATCTACATCTAACTTCTGTTAGATCTACCTGAAAAACCTGAAAAGCACTGTTTATTTCATTTGCATTATTGTTTTATTGTGTATTTGTGCTATTGCTTGTAATTAGATTTTTTTTTTTTTTTTTTTACTACAGATTGTTTAATTGTCTTTAATGTTTGAGATTTATATTTTATATATAGAGATTTTTTTTCCATTAGCATTGTTCTTGCATTCCATGTAAAAAGTCTGGCCAGTAAAATAAAATAATTTACTAGCCAATGGCAAGCTTCAGTGTGTCCGTAGATGTATAATAACAACTGTGGGACAAGATGTATCAAGTGCATGAACGATTGTTGAGATTGTTAATCCTTGTGCAATGATTGTCATGACAATGGCAAATAAAATATTGGTAGACTGTTGACAGAGATTTTAGTTGTCATAACTGCAGCATTCTACATTCAATAATACTCAAATCATTACTTAAATTCGCATGCTTAAACAATGATGAAAACCTTTGGAGCATATATTTATTTAGAATATAAATGTTTATATTTGACTGCTACCTTCACATTTGAGGCCCTGCCGGACGAGTCCCCACAGCATCTCTCCACAGTAGTCACAGAACGTGGGCGCTTTGTAGGAGTGGACGTAAAGAGCATGAGGTCGGATCTGGAAATCTTCCACTGTAGCTTGAGCTGGAATCAAAATGTAACTTAAAGGACAACTCAGGCAAAGAATGAATGATGCAACAAAACACTGGACAAAATAATACAAATTAAAAAAAAGCAAAAGAAAAGAACAAAAAGACAAAACATTAGTCAGCATTAGCAGCATATAATTAAAAGTCTAGTAGTCATAATATTTCATAACAAAGAACAATGAAACTACTTGTTTTGTGTGATTTTTAACAACTGGTCCAACCTTCTTTCTATCTTTTTTTTTAGTCAGCGGTCTACAGACCAATGGGAGATGAGCAGTTTGATATCCTGAAGGCAAAATCATAGACAAAACCACACAAGGCTATCCTTTAGTTTGATTCAAAGTAAGTGATTAACTGATGTGACTCAGACTGGAATGCATTCATTTAGATAATTCATGATGAGGTATGATTAAGAGGTTGAAATAATTGAATATCACTTCATGTGTGTAATAAGAAAGTGAACATGTAAGCCTGTGGAACAAAACTGTGCAACAAATGTGTTTCTACAGTTCCTGTTGAATCGTTTGTGGTTTTATCTTAATATGCGACTACTCTAAGTGTGAATCACACACTGACTGTACTGGCAATACAGTATTACTGTTTTTGGCAGAACCTAAGGTTTAGTCTGATACACACAAAACATTAACACTTTCTTGTCAGTCGTTCGGTAAGAAAGCATCTGCCAAGGACACAAAATACACTCCTAAAATGAAAGTATAAGGTCTGGAAACATTTGCTGCTTGGCAAAGAACGTGCAATCTCTTGTTTCTGATAAAACCACACAGTATATCTAATGGGGAGAAAGAAACAGTGTCCTAGATTTCTGTCACAGGTGGATGGTATTCCTCAAAATTGTGAGCAACTAAAAAGCAACTTGTTCTTCCATTGTTGAAAACTATAAATACACACCCAGTTTATTTACTTGACAGAGTTCCAAAAAAAATGTCTAATTTTGTGACATAATTAGACCAGACAGTAAATAATGACCGCAATTGACCGTTCGCAAAAGCCACGCCCCCTAGTTATTGTTACTACGCCCGTCAAACAAATGGTCAAACACGACCAGCGCGACAGATTGCCATGACGGGAAGAGGTATACCCGTGCGTGTCAGTGACCTTTTTTGGAGCAATACCTCAGCGATATCCTCCAGATCGAGGCAAAAGGGGTTACAGTATGCAGTGGAGGGATATATTCAAAATATAAAAATACCCAATGAAGGAGACACGACTACTATCGAGGCGAATGCTTATACCGGTCTCAAGCTAAATCTGAGAAACCCCATGACCTGTACCTCAAATGCAACCAGCACAGCCTTGAAGAAGATTTTATAAGCTGGTTCAATGGCTAATGTTTGGAGTTAGAAATATATAACTCACGCTGCATATTTAGTAATTTTGCCTCAGATACAGGATTAACACGTTCGCTTTAACAAGCAGGTTGTTCATTACCACGGCAACCGCTTGCGTGTCATGCTAAATGCGCTTTTCGTGTTTAAAAAGTAACTATAGATAAGAGACGGAAAGATGCAGATAACCTGCATAATAATACATTATTTAAGGTTATTTCTATTCGTTACGATATTGATATATGAACTGATGTTGTCAAGTAACGTTAAGCTTCATGTTTTCCCCGTTGCAAGCGTGCGCTCCTCTAAACTGTAGTCTACAGGTGCTGCACTGCTAGTTGATTGCTGCTCATTTTCCCCCGAGAATATCATGTAAACAACAACCCTTTAGAAAACGTAATTCCTTTGTGGATCCTCTTGATCTGCTGATCTTTACTTTTGATCTGTGTTTCTTTGACTAATCTCAGTGTCTCAGTCTCACGCACGCTGCACTCGAGTTAACCATGTTTGACACATTTAACTGGGAGTGGGGCCGTCCAGACTGTTTTATCCATTGTAGGCACCGCTCACGTTGTATTTTCGGCTTTGGAAACGGAAAGAACACAACTCCTCCAGACAATCTCTCGGGGTACCTAGTGTGTGATTTACAAACGCCGTGGGCGCACCGCTTCATCATCTTGCTTGGAGTCAATGTTTGACGGACCTGCTCACATAGTAATGGTTGCTATGATGTGTGATTGGACAATGGCCGTTTTGTGGGAGGGGCCTGCGAACGGTCAATTAAATATTCAAATTTTTTCGGGTAGCTTTTTAAAATCCCATCCCTAACAAAATTACAATCCACAAAAAATTCAGCACACTTTCAAAAACCAACATTGGTCCAATATCATGGCTCTAACGAACTCTTCTTTACAATACATGTCAGATCAACTCACTCCCAAGTGGATTTGGTTCTATATTGGATTGATGTCACATTCAATCATCAATAGTTTGTGGATTGCTGGGTGTCACGCTGACCTTGCTGAAAGTTTCACTCTTATAAGGCGCCTTTCCACTGCAAACACACAGAAGTGGCATAAAGACCATAAAACGTCTCGGTTACGTTTGTAACCCTCCTTCCCTGAAGGAGGGAACGTAGACCTAGTCGACGTGTCGACTGACTGGGATCACGTCAGGAAGCCAGTCATCTCAAAGGTACTATTGAAATGAGCCAATGGAATAGGCGTGCGTGACTTGTATCACATGGCGCGGGTATAAATCCGAAAGTGGATACACACACTAGTTGCTTTTTCGCTGAGGAGCCGAGCGTAAATCGGAGTTAGCGGTGGTCCAGCAATAGTGGCGAGGGGACTACGTTCGACGTAGTCGACTGACTGGGATGCCAATTAAAACGCCACTAGTGCTGTCACCTTCCAGTGCCTAGACAAAAGCCTACCGATCCCTCCGCAACCTGAGGCGGAGATGGCTGGGCTTAGGCCAGGGAAGCCACTGCTGTTCCACAGGACCACTGGGAACACATACCCTATCAATGGAAGGAAGGGACGCTGCGGAAGCCACATCCTGCCCGAAGGGAGGTAACATGGAGAATACACATATGAACTGGGCGGATGACCGGGCAATACAACATATGGAACTTCACTTGGGTGGCTCCAGCCTAAAACAGGGGGAGACTCAACCGGACAGTGACAGCAGAGCAGGCTTTGCCGAGAGAAGACACGGGCTCGCCGCAGGGAGGCGTACCGTGGAAGAATACACATATGGGATCGCCGTAGGGATCACAACATATGGACCCAGCCTAAAACAGGTTCCACCAGTGCATACGAGTGATAGGCCTGGCTTCGGACGTTCCGCCACGTCCGTTGCTGAAGGGTATGGAGGAACTCGACAGGGTTCGGTTAATAAGGGAAACTCACTGGAGCAAGAATTGCGCACGTATCCAGCCCAGGGAGGGGAATGGCGCAGCAAGCCGACACTTCGAACCGGGCTTACAGTGATACTGGTTTCATGTGAAGGGAGCCCACGGAAAGCAGCGGTTCGACACATAGGCTAGTTCTCTAGCGAACGTGATAGGTGTTGCCCAGCCCCCAATTCTATTTAACATCTGTTCAGCGAGGCACTCTGTGTCAACGCCAAGGAGGGAGCAATAATCTCACTTAAAAGGAGCTCACCACCCAGGTGGGCACGTGCATCTTGGGAAAACTTTTTCACCAAGATGAAGGCAACCACAAGTAGTGGGCCAACCTCTGCTTGGAAACAGCCTTCCCTTCTACTGGTCTCCGTAACAGACAAGAGCTGGTCTGAGGTCCAGGTTTTGCATTCTGAGCACGTTTAACCGCAATGGAGCGGACAGACAGAGAAAAGCCAGGGCTGGGTCTGCCTCCTCCAGGCCAGCGCTTGCTGGCTCACCACCTGGTCCCGTAGGAGAGGTAGGAACCTTGGGCACATATTCAGGCCGGGGTCTCAACTTCATGAGACTTAGCCGGCCCGAATTCCAGGCATAATTCGATGCGTGCAAGTCCCTACCCTCTAGATAGAGACCAAGCAAGCAGGAGAACTGTTTCTCTAAAAGCAGGATTTTTAACTCACTGCCTACAGGGCTCATGGGAGGTCTCTGCAGTGCAGTAGCACCAGAGAGAAGTCCCAAGAGGGTAAGAGACCATTATCCGCAAGGTGGATTCAGTCTCCTTGCTCCCCTCAGGAATCTGATGATCAAGTCGTGCTTCCCACGGATTTGTATCCACTGCATCATGATGTGCGTAAATACAGAGGCAACAACATTTTGAGTTGTAGGAGACAGCCCTAACTCCAAACCATTAGCAGGAAAGAAGCAGTGAAGTGATCGAACACCTTTGGGATTTCCTCACGGAGAGAAGACTCAATTCAACGAATAGGTTCCACTTCTAAAGCCCCGTTCACACTACAAGCGACTTTGTCGCTGCATGTCGCCAGTGGCTGGCGATGAGGTCGCTAGTGGGAGTTCCCACTACTGGTTGCCTTTATGAATGACATCCAATGATGTGGAGAAGGACCATACGCGCTCCGCTCCTATTGGTTGTCGCTCCCGAAAGTCGCTCCCGAAACACGCCCCATCTGGTCGCCAACGGTCGCTGTCGCGCGTGTCGCCAGAAATCGCCAGCTCCCCATTGAAATGAATGGTATCGCATCGCTTGGTCGCGTGTAGTGTGAACGGGGCTTAAGGGGGAGCCTGCCTCATTTTAAGAGGGTGCTCTCACAGAAGTGATGGTCTACAGGCATACTTTTTTTGCGGTAATAACCAGAACCTCTGCGTCACATTCTTTTTAGAACCAGACCTGGAATTCTCCAAGGTCTAGACGTGGGTGCCATCATGCCCCATCCCTGAGAAAGTACTCAGAGGAAGGGATGTCGAGAGGAGAGGTCTGGTTGGGCCAATAAGGGGCAACTTGCAAGACCTGCTCCATCTCCTCCCTGACTTTAGCACAGTTGTGTGTAAGAAGGTTCACTGGGAAACACATTTCTGTGGGGGCCCCGGGACCAGCTGTGGCCAGTGTCTTTCTGTGTCGAGGGATGTCCACTCAGACAGGAAAAAAAAAAACTGGTGGAGGGACGAGTCCGGAGGGGCAACAGATTTAACTGTGCGGCCCCGAAGTGGTCCCAAACAGCTGGACCG